AATTATGTTGCATGCTTTTAAGTTAAGTACATGAAATTTTGATTGAAGTTAAATTATGCCCTATGCCAGGGAAAATCTTTGACTTAAAAGATTTTAAACTTAATAACGGCTAAAGTTAAGCTACGTTGTATGTTTTTAGGTTAATGAATTTAAGCTTTGCTGACTAAAATTAAACTGTGTTTTCTTTAAGTTAAATAATTTAAACTGTGGAATAGAGAATGCTCGCTACACCGCCACTATCTCTGGTAGAGATAAATCCGATAAAACCCCTTAATTGTATAATATTCCATGCTTTAAATGAAGCTTCATGCTCCATGGTCATTGATTTTAAAGTTTAGCTTCAGTCAAACCAACCAGTTGTTTACTTTCGAACTAGAATTTTGCTTTGTAAATATTTCAAATCTGGTAACAAGGCAAATCTGGCAACAATGCAAAGTAGTTTCATCTTCGAGTACTTTTAGTATAGCAAGTATTTTTGATCTTGTGGTGCAATTTCAGATAGGGAGGAGCGGCTTGATTAATTTTTATTTTATATTTACTGAATTGTAGTTGCAGTTAAATAATTACTAAAGTTTATCCTGAATATGTTAAGTTAGCTTCGCATGTTTGACGTTAGAGTTCACTTAAGTTAATTTTATGCCATAGAGTTATAATGCAAATCTGAACCACTACTCTTCGAAAATCGTCAAAATTTTCTTTCCATTTGAGCAGCTACCTATCGTGTTCATTGCCATAATTCATGAATTCGAAATAAAGGAAATGGGAATTTATAGGGAAGCTAATTAAATTTAGTTTAAATGTTTAATTAAATTTTTAATGGTAATATTCATTCAGTGTTGTAACAATGCTGCGTTTCAAAATGCATCTATTATCTTTTTCTGATACATTTCGAGAACGATATCTTTAAGGAATACCTCGAGTTACTAAATACTTAGTCGGGAATGAGTATACATCTTTCATTGTTACAGTTGCAAATATGCATTCAGTGATTTTCATTCTAAAGAATAAGAAACTAAATAGGTTACATAGAAATATCGATATGTTTTTGAAACATTTACTTCTTTCTTTGAAACAAAGAACAGATGAAAACCAAAATATGTGTTTAGATTTAGTTTAAATATTTCTCATAAAGTGATTAGTAAAACAAATAACTATGAAAAGAACGTTAAAGGAAACAAATAATAGGGGGACCGGAAAGTAATGTCGCTTTCTTACATTAAATTCAAACGAATAAATTTGTAACAAGTTTTTATTTTTAATCAATAATATAATCACCCTCGTTATCAGCAACCTTTTGCCATCTAGTATGCTGACTTCAATCTCAGACCGATAAAAATCAATTGGTTTTTGAGTAAAATATAATAATGGCATTTTGGACATCATCCAAATTTTTAAATTTTTTCTCACTAAGAAAAAGATTGTAAGGATCGGAATAAATGGAAATCCGAGTGCTATATCTGGCGAATATTCCTCCCACCCCAATTCATTATATTTTTCCAGTGTTCGTCTTGCACAGTGCGGTCTTGAATTGTCGTGTTGCAGAATGACGCCTTTTCCGTTGACAATCGCCAGATATTTTTCGATTAAAGATTGGTTCACTAGATCCAATTGTTCACAATAAAGGTCTACATTAACAGTTTTCCCAGGTTTCAGCAATTCAAAATGAACAATTCCGCGAATACTCTATCAAACACCCAGAAGCAGCGCCTTTTCGGGATGTAAACCCTTTGTAACCCCTATTAAATCTGCCTTTTGAGTTTTGGATTATTATATAGGACTTATGTTTTTGTCTCCACTAATCAAACGATTAAAAACGGTTCTGTATTGTGCCGTTGAAGCAATACGTTGAATGTGATAGATAAATTGGCTTTGTTCTTTTCGGACAGATTATGAGGGACTCAAACACCTGCTTTGCTTATTTTTCTATTCTGCTTTAAATGTTCTTGGATGGTTGACCAAGGTTGGTTAAGTGTGTTTGACATGAATTTGCTTCCACTTCTGTCCTTAGCATGTTGTTGTCGCCATGCGCAGAAACGACATTACTTTCCGGTCCCCCTATTAGATAAAAGAATAATTAAAAGATTAATTATGAAGTAATTATAAGAAGAATTGAATAATACTATTATTATCGCTTTCTCAAAATTTTGCACAGTGATTCTCGCATCTGGTGGAATTATCGCACTTGTCTCAGTAGTTTAAGTCATTGAAGTTACAGTTCTGAGTTTCATACTTAAGCACAAAATATCCGACCTGCTAACAATTTGCGGACAGCTCATTTGTTAATAGCAGTTTACGTGCGTGGCAGAGGCTACGTTAGAATCAAACGTCAAACGAAGAACTCAAGTAATTGTCTCTGAACGTGCTCATGTTGCGAAAATAAATTCGTATTTTAAAATATTTTGAAATAATATCTGGTAAGTACTGTAAAATGCCTGAGATTTGATGTCTCGATAGAAAGAAAGATCAAAATAATGAAAGATGGAATAAATGAAAAAAGCAAAATATTTATAAAAATGTTACCAGCTTACAGTCATAAAGAATAAATTCTTCTGTATGTACAAGCAGAAAGAATGCAGGATAAACTCCAGTGTCTCGCTAGGAAGAAGGGAAAAAACGAAAGTGTTTTACAGCTGTCGCAACCACTCGAAAAATTCATTTTTCAGCGATGATATATACCTATATATCTATATCTATCTATCTCCCACACCTAACCTCCTCATTGTAGTACCCACTGCAGTATTCGGATGGAAGAGGCTCTTACAATGTCCGGTTTTTATCCCAGATACAGCCGGACGTGAGGGATGCTCCGGGCGTGGAGAAGCTGTGATCGATCTAAGCTTGGAACGATGGTGGAAATATCCGATTCCCGGATTTGGGAGTGAATCTTTTTGATGCTCCATTTGAGAGATTTAATCTTTCTCAGCTTTACGGATTTTTATCACTTTTTTTACGTCTCCTTTGTGAAGAGTTTTCTTTCTTTAATTCCCTCGATGGTCAAACTTTCAATCAGTTTTTCTTTCCTTTTGACATTTGTCCTCTCGTTTCGTTGTCAAGATTCTTGCCATCGATTTCGTTGAGATTTGACTCTGCTAGTAATAATATGAATTCGTACATCAATGAGATATACATAATTAACATTTATATGGTCTCCTCATTATGTTTTTGTATAATATCGAAGATCACATGACATTACTTTCATATTCAGCTTATGTATTTAAAGAAATGTTCATAAGCAACTTACGTATGTAATGTTCATAACTATACGGTGCATTAATCTGCTAACTTATAATTTTTTTTACTTCTAATTTAATCTGAAAATGTTTTATTTACTTACCAAGATATAATAATAATTAAACAGACTATATATACTTGATGAAAATATTTCTATAATATTTTACCAAGGCGAAAGTTCATTATTTAGTTTTAGCTATCATTTTTGCTGTACTGTGGTTCACTGTATATGAATATCTTGTTCCACAAACTGCAGACTGATTTTAAAATAAAATAATCAAATAATATGGCAACAATAAAATAATATAATGATAGCAAAAAGCGATGTTTTCATTGTGTCCTTCTACAAAGATTTTCCTCGTTTATATTCTTAGTTTATAAAAATGCTATCTCAGTTTATAAATTATGTTATACCAGTTTAAAGTCTCAGTTTTATGAAAGTTTATATCATGTTTGAGTTTATAAACTATGTTACTCCAGTTTAAAAAAATTTGTAAAAATAGTGGACTCAAACTCAATGAAATACAACGGCCACAATACACGTTTTGAGATACGACTCACTAGACTTATATCCTTTAGGAAGTTAATACACATTCAAAAGATATTTTACAAAGTGAAAATATTTTTAAAAAAAACTTTAAAAAAAGAGGAAGGAGGGAAAAAATTAAATACATATCATTTATTTTTCAGAAAAAAACCTGAAAGAAAGGAGAGAAATAACGCGGCAAATTACATCATGGAACACTTGATACGATGAATACGCGACAAGCCTCGCAATGGATATACGATTTGATACGATTAAAAAGCAAAATTCCAAGTTTAAATTTGAAACAAAAGAAGCACTTTCTGAAAATGCTATGAAAGCTGCACATAGACATAAAAATAAGTTAAAAAAGCATATCTGCTTTTTTAAAATCTTCGAAGACAAGTTACATCATGAGCGTGAAATTTGCTATACTTGAGTTTGGTTGTTATATGATGTTACTGTACATTCTAACTATGAAATATATTAAATGATATCCAAAAAAGAATAGTTCATGTTGTAGGACAAACAGACTTAAAACATCTTTTGGTCACTCAGCATAATATCACATTTTCAGCAAAGGCCATTTGATCAAAGAAGCCTGGGTTTCGTTGATCCCTGTCATATCACAATCCCTTTATTTCCGGGTTGTCTTTCCTTCGGATTCCATTGTTTCCTATTATCAAGACGATTGTCTCTACAGTACCAACATTTCCAGCCTTTTCAAGTTATCCTAAATAATGTACGGCCAGCTTATGACAGTTACCAAAACAGGCATTCATTGAGGCAGCTAAGAATAATACAAGCGCTGGGGCACGTTTGTGTGCTCTCATGGATGGCATCAAAGTTGACTAGGTACTAATTTATTATATTTTAAATAGAACTGCTCTACAAGTAATTTCCGCTAACTTTTTAAACATAGGAGTATTGATTAATAAAAACAAAAATAAAAAATCTGAAAGGTTTCTGATTTTAACGGTCGCCCAGAACAATTTGTTAAAGTTTTTTACGTTGTCGCTAAACTTGCAGTCTGCCAGTCTGCTCTTACAGTCTCTTCTACTAACCCATTTTTTTTCTTTTTAGTTTTATTATTAAGCATCATTTTCATGGCACTTATGCCATATACAAATCTACGGCAAAATTACAAAAAAATTCAAAGCAGCATAATAGTATACGATTAGATTTCACGATGCAGCGTTAAGTGTGCGCATATATAGTTTCAGGTTTTTTTCAGTCTTTTCTCAGCTCATCATATCAGTGTTCAGTTTTCTCACTAACATGGCTTTACAAAACGTTTTTTGTCTTTTCAATATTAGCGTTTTATATGTTTACTTTACTTATTAAATATTGTATTCTTAGTGCTTATACCATACAACGATTCAACAGAAAAATCACAAAAATATTTAAAAACAGCATATCTTTATAATTTGCGATAGAGAGTCTCGCGCGTTGGAGATAAAAATGCTTTTCTCCGTGCAATGATACCACTCTTCGCTTTGAAATCTTTGAGTTTCTTAATTAAAAATTCGTTAGAGTTTTACAAAATATGAAACAGATAATAAAGCGAATTCGAAATTCAAAATTCAGCCTTCAATGTGCCCATGTTCGAGTGGAGGACTACGTTATTCAAAACTGGATCTCTCTAGGTACCGCAGTTTTTTTACAATGCATACATTCATGCAGATTCTTCATTATTTAATTTCTTTAAATATAATACCGGGCGATGATATTTGGTGGCAACAATATGAAAGGTGATACGCCATTTATAGTGATTCAATGCAAAATGGCCTTTCGAGATTAGTATCCTATTCGGGACTAACGTCCCTTTTGGGCTAATTATTATTTAAAATTTATTATATTTCATATTGAACTGCTTTACAAATAATTTCCGCTGGAATTTTAAACATAGCAGTATTGATTAATAAACACAAAAATAAAAATATTATATTTAAAATTAATTATATATCTAACAGAACTGCTCTACAAGTAGTTTCCGATGGATTTTTTAAACATAAGATTATTAAGACAGACATAAACTTAAAAAAAAAAAAAAAAAAGGAATAGTACGCGAAATATAAATTCACGATTATAGCAACTTTGAGAAACTCGATTTCTACAATCGCACTTTCACACAGAAGACAAATGGATTTTAATTTAAGGCTAAATTCATACAGAAGGGTAATTTTCATAAAGCGTTTGGAAACACTTTTAACAGAAATCGGCTTGCATTTTTAACGCAGTAGGAAAATTATAAAAGCCATTACATTTCGTCTGTTTAGTCACCGCAAACCATTTTCTCAAGCGAAATACCAGAGTTTCACAGTTTTATCCACACTCCCAAAGGAACTCACATTTAGAAAGGAAAACGTGGTATATACACAGTGCGTTCTTTCTCATGCTTGTATTATTTCTTAAAATTCCTTTAAAACTGTTTTTATCTCTCTCTAATAAAAGTTACTTCTATCTCGTACATTTTATTTGTGAATAATTGTAATTATTATGTTGAAAATTATGTAAGTATCCAAATAAACATATTTTTACATTTGAGCCGACATTTCTTGATTTCTAGCTAATAAAGTATGTGAAACTGAAAGCATGTTATTAGTTTTAGAAAATAATTTGGTTTATATCCAAAAATACAACTAAAAATTAACAGACATAACCTGATTTTAAAGACGTAGAATAAAAAGGAAATTTCTACTTTGGTAGGTTTGCTTTTCCTTAAATTCTGAATGTATAAAAGTTATTTTTTTCCATGACATGCTTTCGGATAAGATATTTTATTAGGTACTGTTTAAGTAATTAAAACCCGAACTTTCAGAATTAAAAATTTTTGACGAGATGCTAATGATTCATTTTTAATTTAATGAAAGAAGTTTTGAAGCATGAACGAAATAAAAGGCAGCTTACGATAATTTGATCTTTAAAAATGGAAAACGGCTGGTCGAAAGCAATGCTTAAAAAGCATAAATTTTAATCCTTTTCAGGTATTTCGCTTTTAAAATGTCAAACCCCACTTTTCTGTTATTCTTCTTTTATCCTTTATTCCAGAGCTTTTAATAACTGAATACCAGAAAAAAGAATACGTGCTTATGGTTCGGCATATTTTTTTTTGTAAAGTTAAGTAGCTTATATGTACTGGTTTGATAACAAAAGAAAGCTTCTTCAAAATAGAACGTTGGCTGATTTCTTTCCAAAGTGTAATTATGAAAAATAATGGTTGCATGTTTTTAAACTGTATTCCGTACGGGCTATTAAACTATGAATTTAAGGGTAATATGGTGTCATTCGAATAAAATATGAAAATTCAAATTTTGCAATACATCAGTACTTTATTGATTGAAATTCAAGAATTTCATAAATAATACTCGTAATTTTTCGTACTTGGAATTCTTCCCGAAAAAGCTTAAAGCTCTTAAAGTGGTATAAAAATGGAGAAAGCTCTGGCAAGCTTTTCATAACGGAATACACTTTTTTTGCTAATTAAACTGCTTAGTTAGCTTTGGAGTATTTTTCACAATTGTTTCAGTTAATCTTGCTCTTAAAATTTGTTTTGTTAATTGAAATATACTGAATGAAGAGAAGCACTGAAGAATAATAATTCCAGCTTTAACAAAAAGTAAAGATAGAAAAATATTAAATGGAATTAATTAGGTAATAATAGCTAAACATAATACAGAACATGTTATCGAAAGTCGTACTTCATTAATGTTTAGTTTTGTTAATGTTAATGTTTGTTAGTTCATTAATGTTTAGTTAGTTTCTAGCTTTTTTTTAATCTTTAGTTTTAATAAATGTATTTTGCATCGCCATATGGTGTATGAAATTCGCGATTTCTTTT